TGAAGGGGCCTGGTTTGTACAGGTTGCTATCAGAGGATAGCAGGGAGGGTGTGCTGCCCCTGTGTAAGCAGGGCTGTAGGTAACAAACAAGAAAGGACAGATTGAAACTTCTTTTCCAGTCTTGTCCTTTCACAACCCCCAACATCTGGGAGAAACTGTTCTCAGTGAGTGTAATTACCATCAGTTACGACCGAAGAGTTTGCTTGTGTCGTTTTCAGTCTTTCTGATTTACATTGAACAGTTTCAGAATTGAGTGAAATGCTCAAGAATTTTAATTTCCTATGAATGTCGAAAACATGCAGAAATTTTAAGAAACTCTTTGTTTAGGCCTGCTATAAAGTGAAATTTCAAAACCTTTATCTCCTACCTTTTCACTGGAAGTTATTATTTCACTTTGATCTACAAAAATGTGTTAAAACTCACCCATCCATACAGTTTCTTTTATTTTAGCTTAGTTTTTCATGTGTACATGCACACTTGAAGTCTGAGATCCATCTACCTATCTAATCTACCATTCTATCTCTTTGTCAGTTATCTGTTACTTGGGAGGGGAGGGATTAACTCACCTAGCCCCCAACCACGTATTCTGGTGTGAAATACTAACATTACTGCCAGTTGAACTCACATGGGCCTGAAGAATATCCATCAAGTCATCTAGAGTGGAGCAACACAGTTCTATTTGAATGCCTTGTTAATGAGGTTCACTGTTATTTATTTGGTTCATCCACAAAAGGGCAGGGCATAAATTCTGCTCCAGGATTACATCTACTTCTAGTCCTATGGCAGGCAAGAGACAGTGTAGGAACTGGCCACCACCTGTCACCACCATGCTTTCCCTCCTCCTTTCCCTGCTCCAACCCTAACTTTACTTCCTCTCCTTTTTATTCTACCTGAGAGTCTGTGGTTTTTTTCACCTTGGTTGAGGAGCAGTGATACAGGGGCATCCCCAGCCTGATTGTTATGGCTGGCAGGGTGCGTCCACCAGTCCTTTGCCAATTACTACACACACACACACACACACACACACGCACGCATGCACACACACGCCCTTTAACTTTGGTGGTTTATAGGTTGGTTGGCAACATGTACTGGGCATGCACAGCCCAGGAAAATTGCTCAGAAAGGGGACATATGGGGCAGAAACAGAAAAATCAGGATGTAAGCATCTTCGTAAAGCTGAATTTTTTAGGTTTTGAGGAAATGTATTTGAGGTATCACGTAATGAGAAAAGGGAAAACTTGGCCCATTAAAGGGAAACCAATGATGCTTTAAAGCTACAAATACAGTGGTGAGCCAGCCTTCAGTAGATATAAGTAAAATATAAACAGTCTGCTGGAGTGGTTTTACTGTCCACAGACCAGAACACGTTTGCTCCTTGCTTCACTCCCTGTCCCCTCCTAGTCCCCTTGTGGAAACACATTAGTGCCGTACCTTCGTGCAGAGTTGCAGTTATCCATGTCTATATTTGGGGGAGTTTAAAGGTAGACAGTGCTGATGCTAATGTTAAATCCCAGGCGGAGTATATACGACTTAGTAAAACGGTCACTTGTTGTAATTGTCTGTTGAAAGCTTTCTGATAGAATTATACTTTTTAATATACATGGCGAGACTTTTCCATCCATAAACTTATCAGTGTATACCTACTATAGGGCATTTTGTTATATACTGAGGGTTATATTTTCATGATAAAAATTTACTTAAATTCTTAAGATTTGTAGAAGGCTGCTTCCAGGGTGAAAAGTCCTGGAATTTGTTGTTGTTGAAAGCTTTCTTAGATTGGTTGAGTAATGGTTTTTTCTTAAATGCTTATGATTGAAACTCTAGGAATTGTGGTTCCTAGAGAAATACAGAAAATGAATATTTGTAGGGTATCATCAGGGAAGGGTCTGGTGTCCAGGCTTTTGCTCCGCCCTTGAGCTTCGATGCCTCCAGCAGCGCTAGCTCCCCTGCCCTCCAAGTAACCCAGGTGCGTCCTCAGGGCCAGCGCAGCACCTTCTCCATCCCAGCGGGCAAGGTGTTCTTCTCCTGTGCGTCACAGTACAGAGGAGCGCATACCATTGTATTACACCTTCACCTACTTTTACTTGTTTTTCCCAGATACGAATTTATCTCTTCTTCACCTTGTTTTCTTCTTGAGAGCGACATTCCTCGCATCATGAGCCTGGCCTGCCAAGGCCGCAGGCGGGCAGACTGAGTGAGTGCGTGATGTGTAGGGGAGAGGAAGGTCAAGTGTGGAAGCGCATGCAGTCCAGGCCTTGCTGCTTCCCCCACCTGACCTGGGACTATGGGATTCAAGGAAGAATGGCTTATGTGATGAGAGACCCTTTGCCATACACTTAAGTGAGGAGCAGGAGTGTGCCAGCCTGTGTATCGGTCCTAGTTCTGCCATTTGCTAATCTGCTCACCAGCCCTGTGCTGGAGATTCTACTGATTACCCCCATTTTACAGAAGAGGTCATTAAGGCAGGAGAGGCAACCTCTTAAGGTCCCACCAAGTGGTGGAGCTTGGACATGGATACTGGCCATTCGCTTCTTTGCTCTTCTGCTGCTCATAGTCTACTCTTGATGATTAAGTTATATCTGTAAATTTCTTGGTACATAGTAAATGCCAAATGAATAGTAACTAAATACAGATGATACTTGCTATCAGCCCAAAACTGTGACGACAGCACAGGGCCTTGGGACTTGGTTACACTACTCCTGGCAGCAAGAAGCTCAGGATTTGGCTTTCAGATTTGTCCTCTCCTACGTGACTGTTGAATACAGTGTGCAATTGGTGCAAACTCCCTCAACTGCTACAGTGTTTCTTTGCCCTATTTATACATGACTCCTAAAAAATTAACTCCGCTGCCCCCTTGGATCGAAGTTGAGGCCAGAGGAATGATTATAGTGAGACTGAGGATCCCAGATTACACAGAGGAAGCAGCTGGGCCGTTTGATGGGTAGGTGACAGTGATACAATGCTCACTTCCAGGTGGTGTTTTCTTAGCCCACCTCTCTTTTTTTCTTTCTTTCTTTCTTTTTTTTTTTCCTCTTTTGATTTTAGAGAGAGAGGACGGGAGAGGGGGAAAGAGATAGAAACATTGATGAGAGAGAACATTAATTGGCCACCTCCTGCATGCCCCTCACTGTGGATTTGACCCACAACTTGGGCATGGGCACTGACCGGAAGTCGAACTGGCGACCTCTTGATGCATGGGTTGATGCTCAACCACTGAGCCACACCGGCTGGGCACCTTCCTCTTTCTTGCTCTTGATGAACCTGTTGCTGTGTAGCATCTTCCTCAAATTCTTGACTGTGTACTGACTTGCCCTGTTCTCTGATTTTTCCAATCTGGAAAGGAAGAAAAGCTGCTACTGAAAGTAAAAGAGGGTGATGGTGATTTTAGGAGCCGGGGGGGGGGGGGGGGGGGGCGGGGCAGAAGGCAGGGGGAAATAGCATAGAATTTTAACTCTAGAAGAGATTTTTTTAAATGTGTTTTTTTTTATTTTTTTTTATTTTTTATCCTCACCCGAGGACATTTTTCCATTTTTTGTTCAGATAGAGTAGGGGTGATGGGGGGGGGATGGAGAGAGAGAGAGAAACATTGACGTGAAAGGGACACATCAAGTGGCTGCCACCCGCACGACCAACCAGGGCCGGGGACAAACTGCAACCGAAGTACGTGCCCTCAGCGGGAACCGAACCCGGGTCTCTCCGGACCGCAGGCCGATGCTCTAACCACTGAGCCAAACTGGCCAGGGCTAAATGTGTTTTTATTTGTTTAGAAAAACAGGAAGGGAGAGGGAGAGAGAGAGATAGAAACAAAGATTGAGAGAGAAACATGGATCGGCTGCCTCCTGCACACCTCCTACTGGGGATTGAGCCCGCAACCGGGGAATGTGCCCTGATGAGGAATCTAACCAGCAACCTCTTGGTGCACTGGCACGATGCTCAAACAGCTGAGCCACACCAGCTGGGTGCTAGGAAAGTCTTTTAAATACTAGCTAAGACCTTTGGGCTGCCTTTTATTTAGTTAGTTTATTGGGGGCAGGGGGTAAGCAGTTATTGAATACCTTTGGTGACAACTGTCGTCCATGTCCTCAAAATCTTTGTTAGTCCCTTTGTTTAGTTTGGTCCTTTTATTTAGTTTGTTGAGAAGTCTGCCTCTGTTGCTCTTGGTCTTTGCATATTTAAATATTATTTGGATTCTGCTAAAGATGACTAGTGTGAACACACTATTTTTCTTATTATACGTTCTTTTATTTTCTTACTGGAAGGAATTCAGCCAGCAAGATCCAGTAATTGTCCTCCTCAGTTAGGGTCAATAATGTTAGCTGATTTTTTTTTAGTACATCTGAAGACCTTGGGCAATAGTGTGAGAGTGAAACTGTGGCTGGGGGTTGTGCTTAGGTACGTGAGCTGCCCTGGAGACAGAGCACAGAGGGAGGGGCAGGCAGGAAGGAACCGCCTGTTGGAGGGCCATGCTTGGGGGAGGCCTTGTGCAGGACTAGGAGAGGGATGTCATACTCCCTGGTTGGATTTGGAAACATTTAACTTGGTGGCGTGGTACTGCCTCTTCCTGGGCTGTCTGTCATGGGTGAGCTATTGCAGCACAGACTTCACATTGGCCAACCCAAAACAGAGACTGGGAGGAGCCCCTTACAACACCTGTAGTTTCCACATGGTGCAAGATCACTCCTGAAACTGGAGGCTGACTGCAGAAACCCAGGGCTAGCAGACTGTGTGGTTCACGGTGCTGATGAAATACAACTCCTGGTTGAAGAGTATATGCCCAGTGAGGTAGGCTTGTTTGTTTATTTAAATGGTATTGTATTTTCTTAACCTTTTAACAAGGTAAAAAGAAAAATACAGCCTTTTTGTTAGAAGTTATACATGCAGAACAGTCAAAACTCTTGTCAAATTTCTGATTGAAGTCGAAGTTTTTTCCCTTTTGGTAAATTGATCAGACACTTGATCATCAGTTCTTTTCACTTTCCCCCCCTTGTTTTCTGTTTTAGTTGCTGATATGTGTTCAAGATGAGTGGAATGGGAGAAAATACCTCTGACCCATCCAGGGCAGAGACGAGAAAGCGCAAGGAATGTCCTGACCAGCTTGGACCCAGGTTAGAGTATTGCTCATGAAAGCTGCCTGCAGGCTTCTTTGATATCCTAGAACCGATTTTATACCTGATATGAGTACTGTGATTGATTTTTCTCCTTAACAGTTAATTGAATATGTATTATTTAGCTGATGTTTTAGAGATGCTAATCAGTTACTGATCTTATTATTCTTTCTAAGAAGAGGAAAGCTTCATTCTTCTGATATCCCCTGTGTACCTGACTCTTAAAACCTATTTATTTCATAATCTTGGTTTTTCACATTTTCTTTTCTGTTTGATCATAGAATGTTATAAAGACAAAAGATCCCATACTAAAAAGATCTGCTGTTAATTTTATACTGGGTTTTGTTGTTCTTATTTATTTATTTGTTTTTAATGAGCAAGACATGAAATGTTAAATCCACTTGCTTTTGAGTTGGTGACAAAGATTGTGGCTCTTCAGTGAGCAGAGCAGATTCGGTGTCATGTGGGTGGAAGTGTGGTTGCTCTCGCCTCTGTGCAGCGGGAGGGGCAGTGCCTTTGGAGCTGTGCACGCGTGTCCCCTTTGAACTAGCAGTTTCCTCGCCTAGGAATTTCCCAACAGTATACTTTTACATGTGCAAAATGATGTGTGTTTGAGGTTCCTTATAATAGCATTGTTCACAATCACAAAACATTAGGAAAAACCTAAATGCTTGTAGGCAGCTACTTAAACTATTTAAACATCTATAACCTGGAACACAGTACGGGTTATTGTGAAAAGGAATGTGGACACTGTTAATAGATTGATATGAAAAAACAAATCTCTTGAGAATATTGTTACAGAGGAAATGCAGAGTTTAGAAAATGTTAATGAAGTACTACCATTTATGTAAAAAGTGAAGAAAATTAAAATCTATGTTGGTGTTGTTTTAGGATAATTAAAAATGCACGTAAGAGTTGTTGCCAATACTGGGGGATGAGAACAAGACAAATGGGAAACAAAAGTAGAAAAGAAACTTCTCTCTTTTGAAGATTTAAATTTAAATGACTAAAATTTAAATAAAAACAACTTCTATTAAATGGCCAGTAAAACGAGGAGATGGGGAATGGTAGGGAAGAGGACTAGAGATAGTCATTAGGAGATGAAGAGAAGGAGAAAGAGCTAAGGGCCAGTGTTTTATATTTCCATTTCTCCTTGTAGGTGCCAAGCAAAATAAGCCTGTTAGTTCACCACTGTCCACATCCCAGCTCCTGTGTGTAGCCTCTAGACTCCCTAGTACTTCCTGGCTAACCACAGCTTCTGTCAAACCACCTGCAGTGCTCCGAGCCCTCCTCCAGGAGACAGTGTGGTAAACTAGAGAGTGTTCCAGTGAAGGGGCATACTCTCACCCAGTGCTGTGCTGGTGCGCTCCCATCTTTGTAACACAGCTTCCCCTCACCTGTTTCTCATGTATTTATTATCTTGGGGGTGTGGGGGAAGGGAGTGATGGAGGGAGGCAGAGATGGGAGAGGGGTCCAGAAGGGGAACGTGGCTCCTCCACGAAGTCTAGCCACTGCCTCCCGTTCCCTTTACTTAATCAACTAGAAGCTAGGAATAACCAAGAGACTTAGGAAAACCACATTCTGGTCCTTGCTCTACCAGAAACTCATGGGTGATCTGGGACAAATCATGTAACCACTATAAAATGGAGAAATTGTATTCTACCCTAGGTTTCTTAGTTGGTGAAAATAAAGCTTATAATTTAGAGGCTAATATATGGAAGTTTATTACAAATTACAAGATTTTATGAATTGCTGTTATACACAGATAATACCAATTTGTTAAAAATGCAGAAAGCTGCTACATTAAACAACTGCTTTGCTTATGTATTGTGTTGTTGGAATACCTTTTAGTGGGCCCTCTACTGTACTTGAGGAAAAAAAGCCCACTGTTATTATCTAAGGGAACTCTTGAGTTTGCTGTTTATCAAATTCAAATGAGAAGATCTTGCCAAATTTTTTTCTCTCCCTTCCATTAACTTTTAAAAACTGTAGTTGAACTTGGACCATTTGTTTATATTTTGCTTGTCATTCAGCTTGGACAGTTAACAAATATCCTGGATCAGTTTCACTTTTGTTTCTAGCAGTACTGTGGTTTTTGCATGATCTAAAAAGGGTTTGTTTTGATTACTAATATTCTAAAGAAGTCTCTGAAATTATACAGATTTTTTTCTGCTGTTTTTTTTTTTTTTATGCTTTACCAACAAGTCATTGAAGTTTATTTATTCCTATTTTAACTAGTTTAGCTTCCCTTTCTCTTTTACTAATATTAAATCAACCTTACATTTTTTATAAGTGTAACTTCCCTTAACTTTTCTAAAACATTCTTTTATTTATTCAACAATAAATTTCATATCCAAGCATTGTATCAAGCACTGGGGTGACCAGACTGTCCTGATCCTTAACAGTGGAAACAGTAAGCACATTGGACAAAAGATCACACATGTAAATGTATAATTATAAACTAGGGAAGTTTAATTTTTCTAAAAAAAAAAAAAAGTGCAACATCAAGAGCAAATTCAGGTTTTTTTCCCCCCAAATACACCTGTGTTTACATAAGTAACTTCTTTTGGCTGTCTTTGTATTAGAACTCGTTTAACATGCTTATCTCTTTCATAATAGCTTTTTTTCAAATTCATAATAAAAACCTGTTTCTTTTTTTCAGCCCCAAGAGGAGCACTGAGAAACGCAATCGTGAACAGGAAAATAAATACATCGAAGAACTTGCAGAGCTGATATTTGCGAATTTTAACGATATAGACAACTTTAACTTCAAACCTGACAAATGTGCAATCTTAAAAGAAACTGTGAAGCAAATTCGTCAGATCAAAGAACAAGGTAAGAGGACCAAATTGATATTTTGGAGAGTTTAGTTGGTTTCTGTTTTTTCATGTGTAAGAAGTCCCTTCAGAGTCCCTTTAATCCATTTCTTAGGCTTAAATTATTGATGAGGAAATGATGTCACAGAGCAGGATGAATACAAGATTGCTAGCAGTGGTTTATAAACAGGCTTTATATAAAATTCATCGATTCCCCGAGGTATGTGGGGCGTTGTCACTTTTCATCTGGTGAAACTCAGTAAGGTGCCCACGGCTTCTGCCCATCCTGGAATTTCATAGCTTGCATGGCAAGTGACTGTCATAATCTGCAAGAGAGGAGCCGGCTGAAGATGGAAACCAGAAGTAGGGAAGTGAACCTCCTCCTGTTGCAGCTCGTCAGCATATTTGATGAAGTCTGAGCCTCGACCGGCTGCGCCACTAGATTAGAATTTCATATTCTGAATGACAGGAGATTTGAAAGGCTCACGCCTCTACGCAGAATTCTTTTGTGAAGTTGAAACACGGAACATGACAGCTTTCTTCCTGAGGTTTTCTCTTTTTTTCTGAGATCATTTTCTGCCTCTCTTCTTTGATATTTTTGCCTACAGAAAAACATTAAGAAAATAATATTTGAAAAAACACATTGGACTTGGTGGTGCCAAAAAAAAAAGCTGTATTAGGCAAGTATGAACAGTACCTCAGTGCTTGGGGCCAGTATATATTCTTGAAGTATTCACACACTGCCTCCCTTCAGGGCTAGGGAGATGATTATCTCTCGTAATCTGTTTGTGAATGCATCCTCTTAGAGTATATCTACCTTTTAGGTAATAGTCAAAAGAGGCAGATTTTAGAACAGTAATGTCTTTGTCTGTATAGGCGTATGAGTTTAAAACTGCCTGATCCTATCTATTAGAAAATCTTAGAATCTACTCACATGTTACCATCATAGCCTTCTCCACTTTCATACATGTACAGTTAAGCTACATTTTATATAAGACAGTTTTTACAAATGTAGTTCCGTCTTCTAAGAATTTCTGAGGAATATACACATAGCATACACAACACAGTTTCTAATACCAGCCCACCCTAAAAATCAGTCTTTATTTCCTGGCTTTGCTCACAAGTTTATATCATGACATTCCCCATTCAAGGAGTCTCCACTCAGTGCCTTTCTTGGTCTCCCTTCATCTCTCTCCTTCTCCTTTTCCCCTTGACATTCTCTAGTTACCAAAAACTCAGTTAGTCTTAAGTTTGTATCGTCGTTTTTTTAGTATCAGCAAATGGATAAAATATTCCTAAATAAAGCTCTTAGGAGAAATAATTGATTAAAGTTTTACAGTGTTTTGCAGCTGCTGTATTTCTAGTTGCTGATATCATTGCAGCAGAAAAATCACAAGTTTTCTGTTTCGGTTTTCTATATTTTGAAAGATTCGATTTTGTGAACATTGCATGTTAGGCACTACTCTACACTTTAAAACAGTTATATGTATGTCTTTTACCATCTGGGTCTTGCACAAGGTTTTCAAGTTTTGCAAAACCTTGGTAATTCCCCCTTCAAACCATCAGACACGTTCGGATGTGTCATGCTGGGCTTCTGCCATACTTTCACTGTGGTTTAATCATGGGCTGCACACCACAGCCACCCAAGAAGCAGCAACAATAAACACCCTGTCACGTTTTATTCTTCTAATAATGCTCCTGTTAATTTGAAAAGTAATGTGCTTTGAAAAGGGAAACAGGAGATAAAAACCAAGTGAAAAGAACAAATATACTTTTCAGTTTTCAACTAGTACTTTCAGAATATTGCTTATTTAATGAATTGTCTTTTTCAGAAGAGCAGAACTTTAGAAGCAAATCAGACAGAAGCTAGCTTTGAATCCTGGTTCTGCCCCTTATAAGTTGTTTGAACCAGGGCAAGTTCTTTTCTCTCTCTGAGACTTGGTTTCCTCATATAGAATTTAGCAATCACAATAATCAGGTTGTGTAGTTCTTGAAAAATTTATGAGCTAAATTAACACATTCAGCAAGTGCCTGTGGCAGTAAGTGGTTAGTAGGTATTCAGTACAATCTTTCTCACATTAAGCAGAAAGGTGACTTTTTTCCTTCATTTATATTAAGATCTGTAGATAGTGAGCACTTTCTTCAGACGGAAAGTGGGGAGAGTGGTTGTGAATGCCCTCCCCTCCAGGGTCATCTGAAGCAGTAAGGTTTGTCTGGTGCCCGAGCATGCTGTGTACCTGTGCATGCCACCCAGCTCAGCTCTGTGGCCAGCGTGGCTCCTCTCTGCAGCTGACAGCCATGAGGGTTCAGAGCAGCACATGAGTGTGACCCAAGCCCCTCTGTCTCCCTCTGTGTGCCCACCCCCAACTGATCCCTTTACTCAGTATAAGTAAAATCCAACCATCCCTTTACAACATTGCCCAAACTTAATTTGTATTTTAGTCACAGGTGTCAGCCTGAAAAAATCATAGTTGTCCCGGAGAAGTTAAACTGGATTGCATGATGTGCTACACTACTGGGCCGGGAATGCCGGGCTTCTCCCTAGGGGATCTTCCAGTGTCCACAGCTCAGGCAGGTCAGTCAGGCATAACAAGCTTCTTCACTCAAGTCTACTCTGTCATCAGCTGCTCCTTGAGTTTCCATATGCTTAATAAATTAAAGAAAGGATATTGTTAAATGGCTCAAAGGATGGGAACTTAGAGGGGAATTACCAGCTCTTTAAGTAAAGAAGTGTTCTGTTGTACAGAACACTGTATGAGACGGTGGTCGCCAGAGCCCCTGGAGAGCAGTCACGTTGGATGGGCCTTGTAGGAGCAGAGCAAGTGCACAGAGTCTGTGCTTGAACTCTTTCACCAGCTTTTTGATGCTGAAGTGTGATGTGTCAATCTGTCTGGTATGATGCTGATGAACGTTTGAAACTCCAGGCTTCTGTACCTTACAAACAGCAGTCATAAACACTAAACAACCTTTTCCTCATCGGGGTTTAATATTGTTTCTATTTCACAGAATAATAAGTAGTATAAAAAATACAAATGATCTGCCCTGGCCGGTTTGGCTCAGCGGTTAGAGCATCGGCCTGCAGTCCGGAGAGACCCGGGTTCGGTTCCCGCTAAGGGCATGTACCTCGGTTGCAGTTTGTCCTCGGCCCTGGTTGGTCGTGCGGGTGGCAGCCACTCGATGTGTCCCTTCACAACAATGTTTCTTTCTCTCTCTCTTCCTCTCTCTCCCTCCTGCCTGCTCTATCTGAACAAAAAAATGGAAAAATGTCCTCAGGTGAGGATAAAAAAAAAAACAAAAAAACATTGCCCTGGCCAGTTTGGCTCAGCGGTTAGAGCGTCGGCCTGCGGTCCGGAGAGACCCGGGTTCGGTTCCCGCAAAGGGCACGTACTTCGGTTGCAGTTTGTCCCCGGCCCTGGTTGGTCGTGCGGGTGGCAGCCACTCGATGTGTCCCTTTCACATCGATGTTTCTCTCTCTCTCTCTCTCTTCCTCTCTCTCCCACTCTATCTGTACAAAAAAAAAAAAAAAAAATGGAAAAATGTCCTCAGGTGAGGATGAAAAAAAAAAAAATACAAATGATCTATTTTGTATTACTTTGTCCAATTTCACACTTCATTCAGGAAACTTTAATAAAAATTTCTTTGGCAAATACACAGTGATTCCTATGCTCTTAAAAATGAAATTGACTTATACAGTCCAATTAAAAAATTATTAGAGCACCTGAATAGACACTTATCCAAAGAAGACATACAGATGGTCTGCAGATACGTGAAAAGATGCTCACACATAACTAATCATCAGGGAAATGCACATCAAAACCACAAATATCACCTTACCTGTCAGAATGGCTATTATCAAAAAGACAACAATAAGAATTTGGGGAGTGTGTGGAGAAAAGGGGACACTTGTGCACTGTTGGTGGGAGTGTATATTCATGCAGTCACTATGGAAAGTGCGTGGATACTCCTCAAAAAATTAAAACTAGAATTTCCATATGGCCCAGCAATCCCACTTCTGGGTATTTACCTAAAGAAATTGAAAATGTATATGCAACCCTATGTTCATTACAGCATTATTTTTTTTATAGTAGCCAAGATAATGAAAACAACTTAGGTGTCCATAGATAGTTGTATGGATTAAGAGAGTTTACAGACACACACTAGAATATTTCTCAGCAATAAAATACAGTGAAATCTTGCTATTTCTAACAACATGGATGCAACTAGAGTGTTTTATGCTAAATTAAGTAAGAGAAAAACAAATAACATATGATTTCACTTATATGTGGAATCTAAAAAAAAAAAACGGAGCCCTGGCTGGGTATCTCAGCTGGTTAGAGCATCATCCCAATATGCCAAGGTTGCTGGTTTGATCCCCAGTCAGGGCACATACAACAGTCAACCAATGAATGCATGAATGTGTGGAGCAACAAATCAATGTTTCTCTTTCTCAAATTAATTTAAAAAAAAGAAGAAAAGGACAAAACAGAAACAAACTCATAGATACAGAGAATAAACTGATGGTTACCAGAGGGGAGAGGATTGAGCGGATGAGCGAAAAAGGTAAAAGGATTGCCCTGGCCAGGTAGCTCAGTGGGTTAAAGCATCATCCCCATACACCAAGGTTGCAGGTTCCACCCCCGATCAGGCAGTCAGAGCATATACAAAAATCAACCAATGAATGCGTAAAACAAATCAGTCTCACTCGCTCTCTCTCTTCCTCCCCCTTTTCCCTCTCCTTTCTCTTCTTCACTTTCCTCTCGCTCTCTAAAAGAAAAAAAAAATCAATTTAAAAAAGAGGTGAAGAGGATTAAGAAGTACGAACTGCCAGTTCTAAGCCAAGGGGATGTAATGCACAGCATAGAGAATATAGTCAATAATGTAATAACTATGTGTATGAAAGAAGGTTACTAGGCTTACTGGGGTTATCAGTCTCTAGGTATAGAGACTAATACAATGTGTTTTGTCAACTGTAAATTTAGAAAAATTTAAAAATAAAATTTAGGTGTAAAGTTACTGAAA